TCTGTTACAAATATAATTTAGTTTAGTTTAGCACACAGGGTAAGCACGGTGAATGAATTTGAATTTGACCTGTCTGGTTAGTTCACATGAAGTAAATTGTTCCTTTTTGACACCAGTTAGGTTTTATTGTGTAAATGTATTGTGTTATACATTAGCAAAAATAGCATAATTTATCCCTATCAGAGCCCTTAGTATTTTGTTTTTGTTTTATACTTTTTTATAACATTAGCATATTACATTAAGTAGCATTAACTAAAATTATAATCATTATAATTCATTTTTAATTAAGCATTCCAACATTCCATTGATGGTGGTAGTGATACATGTCCATTTCTGTAAACGAGTAAAGCTTTTGTATAGTTGAAATGGTGACAGGGACACTGTGGGATGAAAGAATTTAGCTACTGTGGTGTGTTCAGCAGGATTGAAGGTCTCATTGTCCTCTTAGAGCTGGCTACATGGTTGGGTTACTCACCTTACAATAAGATTAAACAAAACTTCTGATCATTTTTGCTACACTTCTGTGGAGGCAGGACGGGGGGGGGGGAAAAAAAAAAAGATTGTTTCTGTACTTCTTCTGTACTTCTGTATTCTTTACAAGGAGAGTGGTTAGGCCCTGGAACGGGCTGCCCAGGGAGGTTGTGGATGCCCCGTCCTTGGACGTGTTTAAGGCCAGGTTGGACGGGGTCCTGGGCAACCTGATCTGAATGTGTACGTTTGGTGGCCCTGCTAGGCAGGGGGGTTGGAACTACATGATCCTTGAGGTCCCTTCCAACCCGGGTGATTCTGTGATTCTGTAAGTTCTGCATATTCTCCAATGAGTAGAGGAGGTACTCTCACCCATTGAAATTACAGATGTACAGAATGCTCCAGAAAACCCCTCCAAACTTCCTGAATGAAAGGATTTCTATTTAGGACTGCTACAAGATGCTCAGAATGTCTCACCAAGTCATTGCAACTGTACCTAAGTTGCTTATCGCTTCATTTGAGTTGGTCATCAGCACTGGTGAAAGTATGCCAAAAAAACTATGAAGGGGATGAATTTGGCCCTTCTGTTGTCCCTAGTGTTTTGGTACAAAGCTATTGATACAATTACTCAGTTATAAGTGTACAGACAGAGAAGTCTGTTCAGTTTGAGATATTTTATGTGAGCCCTTTATTCTTCCATTAAAAAATACATGGACCATTAAATACAAGGTAAAATGTAATCTTAAGGGTCTCACTAAACCAACAAAACCAGGCAAATTCATAAATCCCATAATCTCTTCCCTTCGAGGTTGTTCAGTGTACGCGGCAATACCTAACGTTAGGAACATTGTAATTCACTGACCTAAGTGAGCCAACACAAAACGAATAGCGCAATATTTCATCTTGCTGTTTTTCTTCCTTCCCAGAAGATGCTGTTTGTAGCATGGAGAAGTTGTATTATAACAAAATAATAGAAAAAGAAATTTCCTTCCCCGAAGCCAGTAGGTATTCTTTTACAGCTGGGAGGCAGAAAACATATTGCTTGAAAACATTACAATATTTAAAAAACACACAGAGTTGTAAAAATTGGAATGAGTCCTCTACATCTTCTATAAAATGGTTAATCAGTTGATCCTTAACAACCAATATGTACAGTATGGAGAGTGCGTGATTCACAGCCGTAGGTTCGAGCAGTGATCCCAAAGGATGGAGAGAACAGATTGGAAGACTGGAAAGAAAGGGGAGGGAGGCAGAAGGAAAGAAAGAATAAACAGAGAGGCCAAAGTCTTCATTTACTGTTTTGGTTTGCTTTTTTCCAAATACTGTTCCCTGTCGCTTAACTCAGAATTAATCTTTTCATCTCTTGATGAAAGTGTAAAAATTTGGAATACAGGTTATTAAAGGTTATTTTCCACTTTTGTTGAGCCTTCTAAGAAACCGTGGGCTTTCCAGCAGTAAAGACAGGAGACTTTATTTTTTTTTTCAATGACAGTCATAGAACAATATAGTCAGTCTAACCATAGTCACACAACTCACCAGTGCATTCCAAAAATTTCATGCTGTCATCATAAAAATCTGACTTCAGCAGAATCTGTCTGGCACTAGACATAGCCCTAATGACCTTAAACTCACACACGATCCCTGGTGATCAGGAGAAGGAAAATACAGTAAAAATAGAGAAATATGTAAACTGCTTAAGTGACAGAAAAATACTCTCCAGAGAATGTCATTCATCTCTTTCCTGTCTTTCACAACTGTCAGAGGTACCGGCTCTCTGAACTTGTCTTTTGTTTTTGTTTAACAGGAAGCATAGGAGAATTTACCAGTCACTTGAAAAGTAAAATTAGTGAAGTCAGGTCATTCCCCTGTTTCCACAGTCGCAACAGTGCATTTACACTGCTTTGTCAGGAAGCACAATATAACCTTTTCCACTTCTGCTAGTGTTGGTAGTCATCAGATTTCTGCTTCCTGGGTTTCAATTAATGAGAAAACATGTCTCAAAGTAAACCAGCAAATAAGGTTTTACTTAAACACAGAACAGTCATAACAATCAGAGATATGTTTAAAAGGTTCTTTAAATGAGCTTTTTCTTTTTAATTGATTCATTTCTGGCATTGCTATAAATTAAATATGGAGAAATTCATAGGATTCTTTGCAAGTTCAAAAGCATTCCAGAGAAATCACTCTAAAGATGTAAAGGATTTAACAGAGATTGATAATTTTTTTGCCATATTGTGACATTTGATGTCTTTACCTCCAGCTTTTGAAATCAACCTGATAGGAGAGACTTCTTTTTGTCTCTCTTGATTAGAGAGATAAGGCTGAAAATATGCATCTTAAACGTGCTGATCCTAAAAGGATCCTAAGAGCAATGAAAAATTTCAGCACAGTACCGCTTTGAATAAATTCCCATCACTTTTAAAGCTATTTGGTGTTTAATTCATTATGCTTTTTGATACTAGCATTTAGCAGTAGTAGACTTCCCGTGCTCTGTATTTCGTAGCTGTCTCATAGCACCAGTGTGTTTCAGGGGTTGTCTGATGCATCCATTTGTTCTCCTGTGCCTGAGCTCTGTCTGGTTCCTGGGCATTGGATCCCTCTTCTCTGAGGTCTTCCCTTTCCTCTCATGGGAAACACTGCCAAAAAAGTTTGGCTTTCATGGCGCTCTTCCAAAGCAAACAAAGTCAGGCATCCTTATGAGTGCCATAGATGGACCAATGTGTGATTTCTATTAATAAGTGTGTTCAAAAATGAAAGATCAATAAAACCAAAGACTGGAAAACAACATAACGATTCAGATGAGCCAAAGTGCTGTATTTCTGGGAGGAAATAAACAAAAAGTCTCTTATCTCAAGAAAGTTGCAGTCTTTCTGAGATTTGGCAGTACAGATATGGTGGGATTTGCACGCATGTGAATAGTAAATGGATGAGAGTCCATCAGGAAGAGTAATTATTTTTCATTAGTGATTCTGTAGGAAGATGGCTGTACTGTTTTCCTACCGAAGGAGAGAAAACGTGCCAACAGTCAGCTTGCTGCAGTCTTAAGCTGTCTTTCTGCCAGGAAGGTGTATTCATAGCAAAAATCATCTCTTCCCATATAACTGGATATCTCAGTGTACCAGGAGCTTGGAGAACAGGGCAATCTCGAAGGCAGATTTCCTGATATATAAAATCTTCAATAAAGCTATCAAAAACCCTGTACCCAAACGTGCCAAGCATCAATGAGTCCCCTCCCTCCCGACAAAAGTGTGCACGTCCTCATGTTTAATTGCAACAGTTTATAGGCCCACGTCTGCGTCGCTGCAGTGTTTAATGCCTTGTGAATGTCAACAAATTGAGCTTCACAACATCCTGAGAGGTAATGTCAGGAAAGCATCACATAAATATTTTTCTCCCTTCTTGCAGTAGAACTTTCACTTCCCTCACATACATCCTTTATGGTTGTTGAACTTGTATTTATTGGGCCAAGTTTTCTTAAACCAAAACAAAACAGTAATTTATCTAGTTTATTTCTTTCAAAATGGTGTTCTTAAAGTACATTTTGCAGATAGATTATCTGTTCCTCACAGCAAAGCCTCACAATGGGAGCCTAATAATTGCTCCTTTTCTAATTTCGCTAAATGAGTTATAATTATTTTATGTCTGTTTTATGGTTAATGAATAGTATTAACCTAAGCTCTAATTATAATATAGCTTTCAAAGAAATGTATGGACACTAAATTGATGGACTGCCAGCTTATGTAGGAGCATCACATAAAGCAGATATACAGCTAATAGTTGAAGGCGTAGCATGTTAAAATTCAGGGGCACAACTTGTTCATGAATAAGTAACAGGGGGTAAATTCATTGACTATCTTTTTTACTGGATCAAACAGAGAAGCACATGATTAATACATGTGGGAATGAAAGTACAGTTAAAGTTGAATGCTATTTATACTGATAGGATTTGGAAGTGTTGTTCTGAGGCTGAAAGTCAAGTTAGTCAACACTGTAATGGTAATGACAGACATTACATCTTCTGTGTTTTCCAGCGTTGTTATGTTCAGCGCCAGCATAGCTTACATAAAAACCCACCCCCCAAAAAATTAAACAAACCAAGAGCACCAGAAAAAAAAAGAATTTCCTTTCCCAAAGGTGCTCCATCTTAGTTGGAGACCCTCAATATATATGACACACATTGATCCCGGATTTAGGTTTGGAAAGTCATGTGCAGACTTGCAGTTAAAGAACACTGTTTGAATTAGCTTCAGACTAAACAAATTAGATGTGTAAAACACACCTGGCTCTTATCTGGCTAACAGCTAAACCTTGGGCTATGAGAACTAAATAAAACCTATGAGCCACTTCCTGGCCACTATGTGAGATTTTCCCTTCAGTTTATTTTTTAAGCCTCAGTGTCTGTTTCTTAATTACTTAAAGGTCCGTGGATTCATTCTGTTGTATGAAATCAAATATAAATTGTTTACCAGATTTAAGGGGGCAAGGAGATTATGCACTTTCTTATTTTTAATATTTCTCTCTCCTATCTGCAGTGGCCGGACAGAAATTTCAAGCAACAGTTCTTGGAAACCATATGGGGATCAGCCTGGGAGTTCTGCAAGGTAAGAGACCCACTGCGATGCCAGGATGGGCTTTGCTCCTGCTGAGCTTTGGTATTATCCTCTTGTAACAGTTTTCAGGTTAGCTTAGTTTGGTGATACATCTCTGTTGCTAAAGGTGTCTACAGTTATTTGACTACAGAAAATATTTACTTTCCTAAAGGGCAGCTTAACCTTTGTTTAAATTTGAGGTGAGCGAAAGGTCATTGTAATTATTTGCTGAATTATTTGTGTCACATCTGAGTTACTATGAAGGCTGAAGGTGTGTTGCCCTTTATTAGGAAACTGCTTAACAAATCCCAGTAAAATCATGTTTTGCATTCACCATTCAGCCATTTGGGCTGTGAATGAGAGCACTGAAGTTGGCATAAGGCTTTCCCAGGGATGGGGCAGAGATGGGTGTTTTGATGAGGCAGCCAAATCCAGTTTTAAATATCTTGTAGCTGGGAAATGTGGAAATTTGGGTTCAAGCCTTCCTGATAAAGAGCTGCAGAGCAGCAAAATTGCACTGATGATGCAGAACTTATTGCAAAGATGGCTCCATTGGAATGTTGCATTTCTTCTGCTAACAGAAGAAGCAATCCCAAGGCTTATGTTCCCATGCCTTTCCCAACAGGTACAAATAATAACACGTGCTTTTCCAAGGTAACATACGACTTTTTTTGTGTGTCAGTAACAAACTGATGCTGCTCTCTGGCAGAAAAGCATACAGATGAGATTGGGATTATTTTAGCTCCATTCTGTGCAAAATTCAAAAGGGAAGAACAGGAGACCCAATTGGATCAGAAAAGAAACTGGGATTTGGTCAGGGTGTAGGAATGACTCCTTTGCTGGGTAGCAATGTGCCATGTAATGTTTGATAGGTGATCTGCCCAGCTGGACCAAAAGGCTATATCCTCAGAAGGAACTGGTAAAAGAGATGCCCTGAAGGGCAAAGTGTATGTAGAGACCAAGCTTGAATTTAAAGTAAAAAAAAACAAAACTTCTACTTGGGAAATATCCCAAGAGCAGCGTACTGTGATAGGCTGGGGGTAAATAACCAGCACCTTCCAAGTTATCCCTGTGATAAAGCACGGGTAGCCAGGAAGGGTTGTTTCTCCATTACATTATTTGGATGGTTTATATCTGTATGGCAAAGTAGCATATATATATGTGCTTATATATATGCATATATATATATATATGGACCTGTGCTTGATACGTGGGCTACACAGTATGGGGTTTTGGTTTGTATTTGCATATATTTATGGTTGCCAACTAAAGGAGCAGTGACCCATTGACAGATGGATCTCTTGTACTTCAAGTACAGTAGCACAAGAACAGTGACAGCAAGGCCACTTGTTAGTGCCTGGGTTACCATGTAAGTGGAAGAAATGATAGGCCTTTACCCAGAATCAGCCCTGCTGCCAAAATACACCACTCTATAGAGTCAGTCCTGTCTTTTCAGTAAATAGAGTTTGTTGTCTTTCACTCAACAAGTTCCTTGTAACAACATCAGTTAAAAATCATCAGAGAGAGGAGGGAGGTGGTAGCACATTGCCAGCAGTCGCTGGGCAGCACCAGGTTGCACAGACATTGAGGGGTCAGGTGGGAACGTTGCTCTGCTGTAGCGCTGGTGTGGGCAAACGGAAGCCGAGGGATGGCTCTGGGTGATCTCCCAGCAGGAGAGCAGTGTGTGGGGCTGTGCTGAGGGTTTGCCTTGGCAGAGGTCCATCGTGGGGTGGGAGCCTGGGCTGGCTGTGCACAGGGGGCTATGTTCTGCTGCTGATGTGACAGGGGCTCAGCTGGAAGCAATGCCATTTTCTCTCGTCATTCAGGAGCAAGTCAGATTTCTAAAAACACCCAAGCCCTTAAAAACATATTTTGTTTGCATTTTTTGAAAGAACTGCAGGCCAGAGAGAAGGCTCAGATCAGAAGTCTTCCTGTACAAATCCTGGGGAGTACTGTTAACTCACAGCGTGGGTTTGGTGGTGTGTCAATCTTCCAGCAGTACCACTCTTGTAGGAAATGATAATTTATTGAGGTCACTGGGTTAATGGGTTGGGCTACGTGCTACCAATTGGTAGTCATAAAATACATTTGGTCCTGTGACATACCTAAAAGGTTTTCGATAGAGGGAGGCTTGCTGTAAAATATGTGATGAGTTGTTCTATTATTTTTCCATGAGCACTTTTTTTCTTTGAAAGATAAAGAAAAAGGAGACAAACTTGATGTTAGAAAGCAAACCAAGAAAGCTGGGTGGCTGTTATGTTGCAGATGTGCGTTTTATAGTTTAATATTTTTTGTGTGAAAAAGCAGTTGGGATTCTAAGCAGACATGATGTAGAGCAATTTAAAATTAATAGAGCACTTCAAAATTTTAGGAGCACTTTAAGTTAGAAGTGATCTTGGTTTTGGGCAGGCTCAGTGTACAAAGATGCAAAATTATGAAAGAACTCTGAATATACCGGAACACATCAGTGTGAAAGCAAATATTGCTGTAACAGATTATGGCAAAGCAAGTTCTTTTGAAATGCTGCAAACCAGCCCAGGTGAAGGAGCAGGGTGATGCAGAAGGAGACAAGCTTGTTCCTGAGGCTCTCTAGGGCCACAGGGTGAGACTGGGCTAATGAATTCTTTTCTGAACTTAGTTGATGCGAGTGCTGCCTTGTACCCTCCCTGCACCCCAGCACTATGTTTTCTGAGTGCTATACCACTGTCCAGAATCACACATGCTCTTCCTACTGTGTCAGGCTGTCAAAGTTTTGCTTCCTTTCCATTATATGTAGATACAGATATATTTACCATTATCAGTGGGAAAGAAATGGATTATTGGCAGAGGTAGAATTGCTCTGCGTTTCAGAATCCGGCGTGAAAGTGTGAGTGTTCTCTGGAGGTCCCTGCACTGTAGCTGGAGATGCCCATGGGGCCAAAGGATCATCTCCCTGCACTGGTTGGGGTTCTAATCCCACACCTAAATCCTTCATCTATGTCATTTCTGTGCTGCATTTGAACCAAGTTGCCATCTGAATTCATCCTGTCACCAATTTGTTTGTGCAGATCAGTTGCTGTAGTAGCAATATCCATCCTGGTCCACTGAGGAGCAGTGTGAGGCAGTTAGGACCAGTGTCATCAGCTGGATATAAATGGCACCAAGCAAGTGTGAGAGAGAAACTAGTGGCTCTGCTGAATCAGAGGGGCGGGCAGCAGAAATAAGGGGAGCTGCAGGGTGAGGTAGGATAGCTGAGCTCCATTCCCATGGGAAACCACTGAGAGTGCACTGACTTGCAAAATGTGTACGCTCTGTTTTCTAATTCTTTATCTAGCACAAAAATTATTTATCTTCTAATTCTATCTCTAGATCATAAATATGACCCACAATTACGGTGCTCTGATACAATAAGAAATGTTTTATTAATATCAGTTTCTATAAGGATGACATCTTTAGTGATCATGAAACATTCCACACCCACTGGAAGACAGAATATCTGGATAGGTAGATATTTAGATATCCACTATTTGGATGCTTTCTGGTATTCCTCTGAATGATTTAGCAAGTAACTAAAACTTCCTATCATCTCTCCCAAGAAAATAAGCATCAAGTGTGATGTCTCTCCTTAATGCTAGGTTCACCATACTTTGGTATCAATTTACATTGTTTGCTGTTTTGCCGTGCACTTTTTGTATTATTAAAGGATGCGTTTTGACACTGCACACAAGTTGTGGCAAATGTAATAATAAAAAAGTAATCTCTTTCTCAAGGCTCTTTTCCCTCTTGATTTATGATTACATGTGTTACCATGCAGGAGAATTTTTCTATATCTACCTGTAAATATAGACGCTCATATCTACTGTAGAGAAAGGCCCTGTATGTTGTTAGTAATGGTTCAGCTAGCAGTGTTTTATACAAAAAAAAAACACAAAAAACAACATAATACTTACTGAAATTTCGTAGAGAATATGTGCTTTTTGCTTTCTTTTTAAGCTCTCCCATGTATTCCTGCATAAAGGCTATGATTTTTATTGTCTGAACTCTAGTGGATAATTTAAGAAAAACTATATGGAATTACAAAGCCCGTTTCCCAATGCTTTGTTTTACATATACATGCTATAAATACATGACTTAACATTTGCACGCTTGATTTTTCTTGCTTATATTAAAAATGACGACAAGATTTTAAAACAAATGCATTGTGCTGTAGCTAAAACAAAGAATGGGACTGAGGGTCTCCTGCCTCCTCTGAACTCAGCAGTACTTTGTTGATCAAACTTTACACAAAAACATCTTCACCATCGCATACCTCGAACTGGTTGACTTCTCTCCACTTCCTATACTGCAAACTGAAATAGTAAAACTGCTGTTGATTGCCATGACACAAGTTCAGGATTGGACATGCTTTGTACATTGGGCTCTCTTTTTGTGCTGGCATCGTCGCTGGGGGTCGATGGAGATCTAAGAGGGTATAAAAAAGTGGTGATTGTTGCATGCGTTCCTCGCCTTCCGACATCAATCTCCTTCTGTAAAGGCAAGTTTAATAACAGGCGTTTACTGTACTGAAGTACTTCTAAATGAATGGGTGAAGATAATCACATGGTGAGGGCTGTCTTCTTCGGCCTGCATGATAACACTCCACTCAGGCCCTGGGACCAGACCAAGGTAAACTGACATAGGGATTAACTGACAATAGCAAAGGCTAATTTACAGAAACCACATGAGGAGTTCCTGAGCACAGCCCAGATAACAAAAATACTATCAACACTGTTTACAGTGAAGTAAGTCAGTTTATTAGTTGGAGTGCTTCATTATGTATAAAAGATGCCAATGATAGTCTCCTAGTCAAAATAAACAGGCATAAAGTGTTCCGCGTATACACTTTGTAGAGAACAGTTACTTTGCTATTTATTTAATAATTGACCATAAATGGAGTCAAAGTGCAAAGGGAAAAAAAAAAAAAAAAAAAACCCTAAAAAAAAAAGCAGCACACTAAGGGCTTTTTGAAAGATTGATAAATAATGTGGAATCTC